AGGCAAGTTCATCTACCTATAGTGAAGTTTGACTTAAAATTTAAGTACACTAGAAGAGGCAGGTCTCCATAGCAAGCAGAGCTATGATTTTCTCATCCTCTGGCTTCTCACTGCCTTTTGCCAGCAAAGGGGAAAGAGATTTGTGCCCAGCAAAGCTGACTGCTTTCCACCACCCCAACCCTGAGCACCGGCAGCCCAGCAGCACAGGGGAGGAACTGTGCCAACCATGTGGACCTCGATCTTGCAAAGTGCCATAGAGGTGAGGAGCAGTGAAGCTAAACCCACATGCTGGTAGCAAAGTGTCCAGAACACACCACATGAGTCTGAAACCATTCATATTACTCAACAAGGATGAGAAGAAAAGCAAAATGTTCCTGTCAGAGTGCTGTAGCAGTGTTGGATTGCAAGACTGGAAGTGAAGTTACAAAAAAACCCAATCCTGGACAAGCTAGTTGTCAAAAACATACCTAAAACAGTTCTCTGATCCTCACCATGATGAAAAGCCCTCCTCTTCTCCACCTCCTCCAGCACTTTCTAGGGGGAAACAACCAGCAAATACTTTGCCCTTAGTTGAACATTAACTCATGGAACCAGCTTCCCTGATTAACCTTCTGATTACGCCCTGTGATTAACACTGGCCACTGCTGATGGAGAGGCTGCCAGCCTTCGCTTTTATAGCCTGGGGATTCTGTGTGCCTTGTTCTGCACCTCAGGGAATTGAGTGATAGATAGAGCTTACTCAAGATAAAAAAACCCAAACATTTTTGGATGTAGATGCCTTGTCTTGACTTAATACAAGTAATACTAACACAAGGTGAGCACAAAGTGCTTGGTGTCTTTATAATTCTGTTGTGCAGGATCACGTAGCCATGGTCCATAACCCACGTCAGAAGCGAGGTGCCTGCAGGCTGCTCCGGTTAGATCAGCGGTTTCTAATACACCCAGTGGATGTTTGGCCTCAGGGAGATCTGAGGCATGTTTGCATCTATCATTCCACTTCAAAATGACAAGATACTTCCATTTCTTAGCAGCAAAGCATGAGGTGCCTGTGACTAAGGTGCAGCAGCCATGTGAGCAGGGTGTTTCAGTGGAGAACAAGCTCCCTGTGTTACACTGTGTAACTGTACCTCCCCACAGCAGTCATGGGCCTTTGCCCACCCCAAAGGGGAAATCTTGCAGTGCTGGGAAGGAATGGGGAAGTTGGCTCAGTTCCTGGGATCTTGCCAATGAGGAAAAGTCTCTGGGCAACAAGTAACGAGGCCACTTCTACTGGAGGCCTTATGGATGTGTGTTTGCACAGTAAATAAAACTCCGTCTGACTTCCATCAGCGAAAGCTGACACAAACCATGAAATGCCCCTGCAGATACGGGCAGGCTCCGGGAAAACACTATAACTAGCATGTGGAACGGGCTGCTAAATATAGCTCTGGAAGTAGCAATCAGGAATATATTTTCTGCAATGCTAACCAACTAGAGGGAGTGGCATTAGGCTGGTATTCAGTTTCCACCAATTCCCATATTGCAGCTGTTTCATTCCTAGCAATTCCTTTTTTGTAGAAAAAACTGTAGAAATTGTGTGTCTGTGAGTGATCTTAGGTGCTGGTATTGCGATAGTGATGCTACGATTGCACCACTGGAAGGGCTGTAAAAAGCAATACAGCCATCAAGGGCTTTAGAGCTGCTGCTGAATCAATTACTTACATTTTTATTTAGAAGTAGCATAGAGCATACTTCTCTTTTACACACTCATACTTCACTGTCCGCTGGTAAGGTTGTTTCACTGCCAAAGGAGATTCTGCCACAGTGGCAGAGGTATCACAAAAGTGTTACAGGATGGAAAAAGAAAAGGCTCTGGGGAGACCTTAGAGCAGCTTTCAGTGCCTGAAGGGGCCTACAGGAAATCTGGAGACGGACTTTTTACAAAGGCGTGTAGCAACAAGACAAAGCGGAATGGATTTAAGCTGACAAAGGGGAGATTTAGGTTAGATATTAGGAAGAAGGCATTCCCTGTGAGGGAGCTGTGTCGATGGCACAGGGTTCCGAGAGGAGCTGTGGCTGCCCCATCCCTGGCAGTGTTCAAGGCCAGGTTGGACGGGGCTTGGAGCAACCTGGTCTAGTGGAAGGTGTCCCTGCCCGTGGCAGGGGGTTGGAACTGGATGAACTTTAAGGCTCCTTCCAACCCAAACCATTCCATGATTCTATGATTAAGATGCCATCGATCAGACACTTTCCAAGCTGCCCAGGGGAGAAAGGTCTGGGTACCTGGCCCATGTCACGGAGCTGTGCCAGGAGGCCCTGACCTGGGTCAGCTGTGGTTGAGTCTGCCCCACAGGACAGCTATGAATTTCATACCCTCCTCAGCTCAGGAGTTACCCTTCTGAACCAACAGAAACAGCACTGCGTTCAGCAAGGACTAGTGACATGCTCTCTGTGTGCCTGCAATAAAAGCAAATTGCTCTGTTCAACCAGCAGTAGAACACTGTTGAATTATACCCAGTACCTATCACATCATCTCATTCTGTAATGACTAGTTACAGAACAGTATTTCTGGATAGGACCATAACTTCCGCCCAGGAACAATGCAGTGGCTGAGTGGTGTGTTTTAGCAACAAACTACCTCCAGCAAGTTTCTTATTCCAAAGGCAAAATCTGTTTTAGACTAAAGGAGAATCAAAGCCACACTGCTGCTAGTGGTTAGGAATCACAATAACCTCTTGGGGAGTCTTTCCTTTTATGTGCAAGAACAGCAGTTAATGATAATCAAGGAGAAAAACCCCAACATTTCATCACAGACTGTTTGGAGTTATGCCAGAAGCATCTCAGGAAGTGGAAAGTAATCAAGCTCAGTGCTTCAATGCTTGCTGACAGGTACTATAGACAAAGAATAAAGGCACAGCTTCATTTTTTGAATTACAGTGGTTTAATTACTTCAACATAGTAATTAGTTTAATACAGTAATAGACACTGATGCCTTCAAATGGACATCCACAATGACAACAACTGTATTTTGGTTGATGTTGGCAAATACGTGAAGGTATTTAGAACCACAGCCAGAAAGAATCTGACTACTGTGGCACGTAGTCAAACTGCCAGTTGCCAGCATAGGACCTGCACACCAAGTGAAGCTGCTGGCCTGAGCACTGAGGGATGGGGGCACGTCCCCTGGCCAAAGCCAGGGCAGAAGCAGTGATGTATGACCAGAGGAGGGCTGCAGAAAGAGGCTCGTAGTTGGGGGTGCTCTCTTGATCTGAGCACCTTTCTTTATAATCCCAGCCATTAATAACCTTCATGGTTCAGGTCAGTAATGGAGATGCTTGGTAAGCACCTTGCATATAAAGGGGTGACAGAGTCCACTAGAACTTCCTCAATATGCTGCTTAGGGTATTTGTCCATTCAATATTACAACAAGTTATACAAAATACCTTCAAATATAAACTCTTCAAAATGTAAGATGTTTAGTCCTAGGAATTCTACAGAGAATTTAATAGAAACTGTCTGTCCATCTCTGCACCTCACTGCTCCAAGAGATTATGAAGTTGGGCAGGGTTGCTAACTTGCATATGCCAGGATGAACTGCATACTGTAATGTTAATTTTTGATGACGTAGCTGTTGCAAGCTGGTTTGGAACCAAGGGCAATTTAAATGCACGTGTGATTAAGCATGGACTCAGAGGACTGCCTGGCATTTTGCCTGTACAGTGCTTTTCATCAGGTGAAGGTCTTCGTTTAGATGTCATGGTCCCTTTACTAGTGTTAGGAAAAAGACCTGTCTCTAGGAAAAAAAAATCAGGAGCAACTTAATTCCCTCTTCTCTTAGGAGCAAGAAAGGTACCTTATATGCTGCAATAAGATAAATCTTATCTGAGAACATTCCTGGGGTTACATGCCTTATGGTGGGCACGACTTATCCTACTACTCATAGCACTTCCTCAAGCTGGGAACTTTCCAAGCCCTGATTGAATATACGTGCTGCATTAATCTACATCATGAGATAAGTAATCTACCACTTCATGCTCAAGGCCTGCAGGCAAGATAATCACTCGGCAGACACCTCTAAGCCTACCTGAAAGTGAATCATAAAGTACATATGGAAATTCTATGCACCTCAGGAGATAATGGAAGCTGGCTGGAAGCTGCAGTTCCTTGGTCTAGAGGACCAAGAAGTCCCCTAGAGAACCTCCAACAGAGGACCTTGGTCTAGATCTGTAATAAATTTTAGTAGAATGTGACCCAAAATAAGCATTTTTAAAAACTTGCAGTCTCCAAAGTTGAAGTAGAAAAACCTGAGTTGAATTCAGAGTAATGTAAGTTATTCTGTAAGAGGAGCTATTGCAACTCTAGTTCCTACCACACTCTAGCATTACACTTCAGCACTAAAACTAATTGCACCGACACATATACAACCCACAGAATCCTCATTTTGATGGAGGTACCTGAATGGTATTAGCAAGGCTTCGTATCATAAACTTCACCTGCCCACATCCCTGACAGAAAGATGTGGAAAAGCACTCTGAAGCTCAATAATGAAGTGGGTCCTTCATTATTCTTCATTCACTATCACATCATCCAAATAATTCATTGGGTCAGAGGGAGAAACTGAAATAGCAGTTGGAGGGGGGAAATAATCCACAACCAGTTTCTTTTAAAAATTACTTGTATTTAATATTTGAATGCCTGACGCTAGCACTGCTAGACAAATTGCACAATGAATTCTAGTGGAATAAAACATGATTTAAGTACACAAGTTGGAGGAATAAACACTCACACTTTCCAGAGGCAAAGAGGTATTTTAACTATACAGAGTCTGACTGTCCAAAACCATCTGCAGATCTTCCCATTTGTGATCTTTGATGAACACTGATCATTCAATAGTTCTCTCTTTCTGTGTGTGTTTTTCAAAAGGCCATGGAAAAGTGCATAACCGTCTTTAAAGATGAAAAATTCCTTGCATCTGTCTTGCCACACTTAGACTAGTAGCTCTAAAATGTTCAGCCACTCATTCAAGCCATTCTGATATATGGTGGAGGTTTGGATCCATCTTCCTCTGTATCTAAGTCCTGCGCTGGAAACTGATCTGGGAAGTTAAAAATTCTGCCCCCAGGGCCTGTGTGGGGAAGGAAAGAGGAAAACACTATTAGACCTGGGGTAGGCACTTGCACAAAGTCCTGAGTTCCTTCTGGCTCAGAGCATTTTGGTTATCAGGATTTTGGCTTGGGATGTAAAGCTTACTCAGGATGTTCCTTCAATATCCCTGGTGAATATATAAATGCATGGAGGGAGCTACTCACTTTGTGCAGCACAAATCATTTCCACAGTCTGATTTTGGTCCTCACTAGGTTGCAACCATTCCTATGAAGGAAACAATGCCATCAAAACCCTCATCTGTGAGTTTGCTCAAGAGACATACCCGAACTCATTTTGAAAGTCTGTGTAGTCCACCTCTCCTAACAAGTTTTAAAGTTTAAAGCAGCTTCACATTACACACTTGGTATCTTGAGTCAAGAGCAGCTGCCTTGTAACCTGTACCCATGAATTCCTTACCAAATGAGCTGGTTGGATGTACATGTTTAATACAGCATCAGAATTACTCTAGCAGAGAAGTAGCTGGTATGTACTAAGCTTGCTTAGCAGAGACAAGTGGTATGTGCCCCATCACTAGAGTCAGAGTCCTCATAAATTAGCAGTAAAATGTGGTGTGTTGTCTCTTGTCACCCCTATGATTCACACACAGTACAGAGAACATTTCTATTACTGAATTTGTAGTTTGAGGGATGAGGCATCTCTCTATGTAAGTACCAGTAATTCTCTGAAATGCTGTACCAGGAGCAATCATTGGTTTAAGAGTGAGAGAAGAAGGAGTAGTTTTCGAGGAGAGCAGGAATTCTTAGGAAATGGGACCACAGCAGCTTTCAGTACTAATGGTTTGGAAAATGGAGATAACTTACGCCAGGTCTTACACAACAATGTAAGTAAGAAAGGAAAGTACAAGAAGTATAACACCCTTCTAACATGCACTTAATTTCTTAGAAGTAGCCCTGGATGACTGAGGTAGAGCTGAGGCTAGGTTTATAGAACAAAAACACATCTTCTCCCCAGTTTCTTCCCCTCCCACTCACACTCGGTATCACTAAATGGGTGCCCTGGACTCCTCACTCACCATCCCAGTTACACTGTCGTAGCACGAGCAGTGTGGAAGACTCCGGCATCCCAAGTAAGCCACCAGCAGCACAACAAAAGCACTGCAGACAGATGCAGCTAACATGGCTATGTTAGCGCCCTTGACTACTTTATTAAGTACGAACTTCTGCAAGCAGAAAAGGAAATGTTAAAGCCATACTCAAGAAGTGAAGCTCTCCACCAAAAAATCATTCTAATGACTGCAAGAATGCTGCAATTGTATTGTAGGAGACTGATTCAGAGTGAGTGTTATTTAAGGCTTCTTTTCCTGTGCTCTGAAGAACAAGTTAAGTGTGAACCTCAAATAGTTAAAGAGCAAGCAGTAAAATAAGGCTTCTCATTAAATGTACGCAACAACATCAGGTTTGGAAATAGCTTTAACAATAAGTAGAAACCCAAGGAATGGCTGCTTCTCTTCACACTGAGAAATGACTTCTTGCTATACTGCACCTTAGCAGCCTGACACTTCGATTTGTCTTGCAATAAACTAATGGGCAGCTTTATCTACCTGGAATGTCTTCATCCCCACAGGGAGCCATCGCTTGTACCAGGTTTGAGGTACAAAAAGTCTAACTCATTCCTTCTTTTCAGCTTTACAGTGGAGGATACCCTTGAAATAATACCCAGTTTTAACTAGCTGACCTGTAACTGCTGTAACTTTATCACAGGCATCCAGACGAGCTGTGCATTAGTTCACATAGCCACTGATACAAGCCATGCTGCAGCAGCAGTGAACAGCAGGAGCTAGCTATAAAATACTTAACCTAGCCCTGCACAGGCTTTGTGGTTTTCAGTACCTAACTCAATACCTAAATGTAGACTTACCCCAATTATTTTTAAACAAACAAGTGCCCTGCTGCAGGCACCACTTCAAACTCTGATTTAGGCAGCCTGGAAGCCTGGTTCTGTTTCCAAGTCATGCCTAGTAACGTTTGCAGGTTAAGACAGTCACGTTCTCCCGTAATAAGCATGATATCAGCACTTACAGTATGGGTAACATGGACTGGGGCAGAATTCAGCTCCTCCTCTTCCCCATAGTTCAGTGTGAGTGAGCTATAAACTATTATGATGAGGATGGCAACATAAGAGATTAGGGAAGAAACTATCAGCACATTCACCTAGACAGAGAAATTAGCAGAGAGAAAGAAGGGGAGCAGGAATTAAAACTATCCTCTGGCAAATCCACGCAATTAATACAGACCAAAAGTTCTAACAAGCATACTAGTCTTTGACCTCCTGTAAACACTGAGAAGGACTCAGTAGCAACAGTCACTTGGAAGCGAAACACAGAGCCGTAAAGGTTTCCGTGATACTGAATTTCTGAGCTACAATTGAGTCACAAATCTTAACCACAGGAGCTAACTGGACTCAAAGACTTTGTTCTTAGAGATGTCTTAGAGACAATATCCCCACCTTGGAATTTACATGGCTGGAGAAACCTGCCTAGGAAATGCAACCCAATTAACTTGCTTCCTATTTTAGTGTACATGATTCTTAATAACAGGAAGAAACACCAAAAGAAATGCATTCAAAAGCAAGTGGTTTTAGAGATTTTTGCTTGTTATTAGAGCCAGCACTTCTCCGCTGCAGCAGAAAGCAAGGCAACACTTCATCCTCCGTTTGCTTATGAATGTAGCAGCTTTTATGGAGCTAACTCGAGGAAATAAATAAGCTCTCAATCCTGCAGAAGGACCAGCCAGCTCATTCCCTACCAAAACTGTTTTTGATTGTCCTGGCAGTTTGCCCTTGCCCCGTACACACACCACCACCTCATCTTACGAGAACTGGGTTCTTCCGCTGAGAAGAAAACAAAGCCAGGAGGCCTGGGACTCCCATCACCTGCAGGGCACAAAAGGAGTTGGTAACTGGGAGGCAAGTATCGGATTTGGAAGACAAACTATAACAGAGCAAAAGAAAAGCCCTCGTTTTCCAGGCTTGGATCAGAGTAACTGTTAGGTCAGAAATGGAAAGAGAATTGCTAGTTTCTTCTGCTTTCCTCTGCAGCATCTCTCCTGGCAGCAGGACACTGGGTGAAATGCATCTTACCCACTCGCTACCCCCACTGCAGCAACCTACCCCTCGCATTACAGCTCTAACCACACAACAGAACTGATTAAATAACTCTGATCGAAGCGCTAGAAGTGCACGTTGCTTTCCCAAGTCCTTATGCACCTTGTAGATGGAAGAAGGTATTACTGAAAGGAGATGGACAGCCTGTAGATGGAAGAGCTTTGGTACAGCTCCCTTGTGGTGTGGCTCGATAGGGTACCATCAGGGTACAGAATGCTGGGAGTGAGAATGCTGCTGCCTCCTCCTTGTTGTGGTACAGACAATTAGTGGCACCATGCTGTGGGACACAGCTTGTCACCCAGATGTTCATCTACCTGATGTGAGAATGAAGAATTCCCTTGTCATCTTCAGTTGCTTCTCCGTGGTCTCATGCTTCTGCAAAAACCCCTGTCAATTGCCACTATGCCCCATTTTCTACGTTATCCAGTAGAAATATGTATTAATACATGTTTTATTTTATCAGCTGCTTCAGAGGAAAGTTTGTTTGCACCCTCCTGCCTATACCATGGTAACTTCTATTATCTGAGTACAAAGCAGGAAATCAGGGAAGAGGTGGTAGGAAGTCCTGGCCTCCCTCCCACCCCCAAGCCAAGCACCTGCAGGTAGCAGCAAAGGGAAAAAAAACCACAAAGTATAAAAAATAAAGTGCAACTTTACCATCCCAGCCCAAACTGGAGCTCTAGTTATGCTCAGCTGAGACTCAGTTCTGAAAATGCCATCTATGAGCCCGCTGACGATGCACACTGTGCTGAAGGCTATCTGGAACAGGCCCAGCAGGACCATGCTCCTCTGGTTAAAGATGAAGTACCGGTAGCGATCCATTCCGCTTTGATTCACACATAAGGCCCCACACGTGGAGACTGGAAAGCTGCGCCGTGGCGCTCCAGCAAAGCGGAGACGAGCTTGTCCTAGGCAGGAGAAAGAAGGAAGAGAAGCATCAGCACCCAGCGAGCACCGGGGACCTGTGCCAGGCTGGACAGTATGTTCACCGGGGGCAGAGAGGTCACCTCCTGCCAGGGAGAGGTCTTTGAGAAACGCCTCCCGCTGCTGTGGGCAGGTGCCCGGGACACCACCGTTGAAGTTTCTGGATGGAGATGTGCCATCCTCACTTCAGCCCTCACCCATCGCTAACCTCCTTCCTTCGGGGCTTCGCTCCCTTCAGAAGACAAGCTCCGTGCCTCGCTGGGAGCCGCTGATCCTCGGCAGGGAGATGGTGCCGCCGGCACCCCAGACCAGATGCTCCCCGTCACCGAACGCCTCCCGGGGGTAGCTGCAGC